TTAAAGCCTTCAAATTATAAGAATAAACTCCTGTTTGTTAAGGCCATCCCATTTGTGGTATATTCTGGTCAGAGCGGCACTAGGTAACTAGAACACTCAGCATACAGATTGAGTAAGTATGGTGAAAGGATATAATGCTGACGCACCACCTTCCTGATTTTAAACCATGCAGTATACCCTTTTTCTGTTTCCTGGTCTGTGTACATGTTCCTCATGAGCACAATTAAGTGTTCTGGAATTCCCATTCTTTGCAATGTTATCCATAATGTTATAATATGATATGATGTGTTATATTCCAATACCACCACTTGTCTGTCAGTTTGTTATACTGTGGTGGCTTGTGTATTGTGGTGAGGCTGGAGGGTATGCCACCAGTATTTCAAATACCAGCAGGGTCACCCATGTTGGACAGGTTTCAGTGGAGCTTCCAGACTAAAGACAGACTAGAAAGAAGGAAGAAGCCATCCACTTGTCAAAAGAACTGGCCAGTGAAAACCTTATGAATAGCAGTGAAACACTGTCTATTACTAGAACACTTTATAAACAGCCCTGAAAAATTGCCTGATACAATGCTGGAAGATGAGCACCTCAAGTTGGAAAGCGCTGAAAATACGACTGGGGCAGAGTCGCCTCCTTAAAGTAACAGTCAACCTTAATGACGTGGATGGAGTAAAGCTTTTGGGACATCCATTTGCTGGCGGGGCATGACTCAAAATGGGAAAAAAATAGCTCAAATAGCCATTAATAAATGGAACATGGAATGTATGAAGTATAAATATAGGAAAATGAGAAACTCCAAAATGAAACTGAATGCATAAAGATCAATTTCCTAATATAGTAGTAATATTCTACAAAATTCATACTAGAAATTCATTAATGCAGTAAGAGGGCAGAAATTTTAGCAAGATATCATGGAAAAGAAAAGGAAAGAACTAATTGTTCTAATCAAGAGAGTGACTTTTTCCATCTACATAAGGAACTAACTTGCTTCTTTTACTCAAATATCTCTTAGACTTAGAGCCAAACTCTTAACCCTAATTCCCATCTTACGCAGACTCAGGCACTAACAGGAACATTTACTTGAAGTGCTTTTTCAAAATTGTTATAGAAGATATTATACTTAACATATAATTCTCGATAAAGACTGATATTTTTTAGAATAATAATATTAATGCTGATTGAGACTGGAGTAGTGTTCCTGTGGGGAGTTATATGTTCCTGACCTCTAGTGGTCAAATGTGCACTTCTTGTATCCAAATGACCATCACCCCTTTCCTGTTTCATTCTGCAATCTTCTTAAATGCATAGTTTTACAGGAGTGGTGTAAAACATGTCTTATACACTTTCACAGATAATCAACCCAATATTTCCCAAAGTGGGGGATGCAAGACATTTTTTTTATAGTTACATATAAATTACAAAAAATATTTCACATAGCACACCTGTGACTTCATGAATAATAAAGCTAGAGATGAGGTTAAAGTAGGCAGTGTCATGATAATTCACATGAGTTACAGGTGAATTACCACGTAAGGCATGCATGCTCGTGCATACCTTAATTCTTTGGAAACATACTTCCTTTATAATTAATCTATGTATAATTTATAAACATAAGTATATATGCTGTGGGAGCTCTGGTAGTGTAGTGCCTAAGGCACTTGACTGCTAACCAGAAGGCTGGTGGTTCAAACCCACTAGCCACTCCTCGGAAGGAAGATGGGGCAATCTACTTCCGTAGTGATATTGCCTCAGAAAGCCAAGGAGGGGTCGCTATGAGTCGGGTCTGACTTGATGGCACATAACAACAACATATATGCTGTATTAGAGAAGACAGTTTAGTCTCTTACACTTTCCAAATATATATACCAAATGGAATCAATATTTTTGATGCTAGTTAACATCAAACATAAAAAAAAAAATCATCTAATTAATACAACAGCCTCATCAGTGTCCTAAACTATCCCATTCTTATAATTGGGGACTTATTGTCAGGCATGTCTTTTTGTAAAATGATTAGATTACTACTTGTATTTCATAATTTGTGTTTCAGAAGTTTGTTTGCTTAAAAGTTGTAAAATTCATTTTAATTTTATTATTTACAATAATGCTGTTTGTTCAAAGGGAAAAAAAAACTCTAAAGAAAAAAGTGTCTTGTGGATAAAGCAACAAATTGACAACAAAGTAGGCAAATGACTAGTGGGTAACAAATACAGTCAGCCCTCCATTATCTGTAGGTTCTGTATTCACAGGTTCAATTCACTGTGGATCAAAAATATTGTGAGGGAATTTGATCCAGCAATCCCACTACAAGGCATATAGAGAGCTGGGACATGAATAGCTATATGTACACTCATATTCATCACAGCACTATTCATAATGGCAAAGAGATGTAAACAACCTAAGCCCATCAACAGATGAATGGATATAAACAAACTATGGCACATACAACTGAATACTATGTGACATTAAAGGATAATGAAGATTCTGCAAAATGCCTCATAGTATAGATGAACTTAGCAGACATTATGCTCAGTGAAATAAGTCAACTACAGAAGGACAAATATTGAATGAGTCCATTATTATAAAAAAATCAAGGAAAGATTTACACACAGAAGGAAACTTTCTTCACTGAATACTAGGGATGGGAGGGGGAGGGGAGAGAATATTGTTAGCTAGGTAAGAGACATGTATTGATTTGAGTGAAGGGAAAGGCAATACAACAAATGCTGGTGACCAGCACAATATCACTAAGGAAAAGGAAGATGCATAAGAGGTACAGACAACAAAGGTAAATACTATTACATATACAATTCAGTATTATCAGTAATAATAAAAATTAATATATACAAGTGGATACATGGGTAGACAGATAAGATAATCAGGTATGGGTAGGGAAATGCAAATATACCTATGACTGTATATAGGTTTGGCAGATGATATTTCTACATATGTATTTGTTTGGGCTATAAAAATGTCCATATGTACAGTGGAGCTAACAGAGATAACTTCTTAGCCATAATTAAACACTCTGAGGGAGTGAGTCGCTAGCACAAGACCACAGTCCTGAGGGACATCAAGGTCAACTGACTTAACAGAGAACACTAAAAATTGTTCCACATCATACTTCGGTGAGGAGCATCTGGGGTCTTAATAGCTTTCAAACAACCATGCAAGGTCCAACTACTGGTATCTCCTCATCTATGGCAAAGAAGAGTGGGGAAAAAATTAGAGACACATAGAAACAATTAGTCCAAGGGACTAGTGGACCATAGGACCCTACATGACCCTGAGACCAGAAGAACTAAATAGTGCTATACTTGCCAACTGCTCGGAAAGGGATCAAAATTGGAGATCCTGAATAGGGTGAGAGAGAAATGTGGAACAAAACTCAAAAGCATTAAAAAAAAAAAACAGGCTTCCTGGTCTGATAGACTGCTGAAACTCCATAGACTGTGGCTTGTTAATCATTCTATGGGACTGGAACTGAACTTACTGTCATGGCTTAACTATCAGCCAAACAACAGATAGGCCTATGAGATGAACAATTGCACTAGGGAGGTATACTCCTTAGTTTAAAAAAAAAAAAAAAAAAGAGAGATTTAGGGCAAATGCACAATTAAGTGGTCAAAGCAATCCCTCAAAGGCTAAGAGGGAGTCTAAAGTGCTATTTACATAGTATTTACATGGTATTATGTATTATATGTAATCTATAGATGACTGACAGTATAGAGTAGGTGCATAAGTTATCTGTAAATATTACACCATTTTATATAATGGACTTGAGCATCCTTGGATTCTTGGAGGATGGGGGTTGTGTCCTAGACCCAATCCCCTGTGGATACCAAGGGATGACTTTATAGCAGTCTGATTATATGCCCCACGCCCACTTAATTACATTTGTTCTAATGCACGCACCTCAATTTTTAATCTTCTTCTCCCTTCCCCTTCCTGTCACCCTCTCAAACACATATATGCATATACACAAACAAGGTTAGGAGGTGTACCATAGCAAATTGCATACTTTAATCCTCTCTTAAGATACAGAGTGTATATTAATTAGCATGTTATAGATCTAAGAAGTATTCCATTAATGAAACATATGTGATTTTAACTCAATATGTTCCAAACCTATTTGACTAAGCAATCATTTATTCTATTAACTTCGAGCATCAGATTTCTGATAAAGAGTTAGGATACCAGAAATATGCCACAAAAACAACTGTTTTTCACACCCAGCTCCTAGCAAAGCTTCGAGACTCCTTTATCCAGTTAATATTTCAAATCCTGAAAAAGTATTCTATGAGAATGTCATTAGTGTTCTAGTAACCAAAACACCAACAGCTATTTCCTCCTATGTATCTGTAAACATTAGGAAGGATTTATAACGATCAACCAATTTTACAACACAAGATCCTGAAGCACTCATCATATCAAATCTAAGTTTGTAAAAATTTGTATCTCAGTTCTTTAATTTACGGTAATGTTTTCAATATGAATTATGGTAACTATAAGTTTGCTGTATCATCTTGAAATGATATGTTAAAATGTTTAGTACCTGTTTGAATTGGACTGAATTAGATTAGACAAATTTTATAAATATTGACAATAATTGAAAGCAATTACATGGAAGTAGAAAAGTTAAATAAACTTGCTCAAGAGGATTTTTTTAAAAACTAGTGACATAGCTTGTTAAGATTTTGTTTCTGTTTTAATTACAAAGAATGCCTTAACATACAAGCCAATAGCTTCTTTAGCCCTAAACGTTGCAGGATGTTGTTGAGTCTTATCTGCAAACACCAGTTAGCAGAATTAATTAACTGATGGGAATACAATAAAGGAGAGAGATGCACAGGGACCAGAAGAGAGAACTAAGAGGAAAAGAGAATGGGTTCTACAGAAGACGTACTCTCTTTAAACTAATACAGGAGACATTTAGTGAGTCCACTCTATGATTCACTTTTACAATAATTTCCTTTGGATTCACAGGAAAAAATACTTGCCTATTGGCACTATAAGAGGAGTCCGTAATGGTTCCAACCTGAGCTGGAAGTGACGAAGTGTAGGATACTAAGGCTGGTGAGAACTCTTGAGGGGAAGTAAGATATTCCGGTGATGCTTGTTGTTGACACTGCTGATGTTGAGCTAGCATCTGCTGCTGCAAGAAAGCCTGCTGATATTGCTGCATCTGAAACAAGAAATGCCATTATACAAAATAATGCTCAAAGTCACTAAAGCACTGTCAGCAACCTGAAAAACACTTCATATCTGAAGGAGCAGCTCTGCTACTAGAAAAGTACAGCAAAATGAAATAAATCTATTTAAGAAGCAGTGAAATAAATCTATTTAAATCTAATTAAGAAGGCCAATCTGGCAGGATTCATTCATTTAAATACTTTAAGAAAGAGACAATAGAGTAGTTTAAAATCACTAGTATAATGGTAATTGGAAAAAAAAAAAAAGGTCAAGCTAGTCTCTGAAGCAAAAGCAATTTTCCTTTATGTTTCTTTTACACAATGGATGTTTGCTGAATGAGCCAGTCAGTTATAGTGTGGCAAATTCAGATTCTGTAGTTTAGCCAAATTTTAAGATGGAGTGACTTTGATAAAATATATTAATGAACTAACTTGAATTGACTATTAAAAAAAAGGTTTAGAATTATTAAATCATGACTAATACTGGAAGGAAGATGGGGCAATCTACTTCCGTAGTGATACTGCCTTGGAAACCCAAGAAGGGGTTGCTATGAGTCGGGTCTGATTCGACGGCACATAACAACAACAACAATACACCATGTGTAGTATTAATTTAAACACTGTAATGTATACTTATAGATAAATATCTCAAAATTATTTATTACTTACCATTGTAGGGTACTGTGATGTAGAAGGTTGCTGCTGATACATAGACTGCATTAAAAACTGTTGTTGAAGTATCTGTTGCTGCTGCACTGCATGTTGATACTACAATGACAAAAATAAACAAATCCATCAATATTTCTATTGTCTTTTCTGTGTTAAGAGTCTTTTTTTTTTTTAATTAAATATCAATCTTTCCATTACAGTAACTTGGGAAGTCAGAGTAGTCCAAACATCAATGTAAAACAGCTATAGTCAGTCTGAGATTTTAACATAAATGCTTATTGGAATTGGTTTCAAAATTATCAATAAAACATGGAAAGAAATTCAACTACAACTGTTTCCAGAACAACAATTCAACTACAACTGTTTCCAGGATGTTTGGGAGAAACCTAAACTCATTCACCACCCTTTCCCAGTTAATAAAGATCCTTGAAGTGACTTATTCAGAATAGTACATCCCAACTCTCCACTAACTCCCTTTCATTAGTATTTTCTGGTCATTTCATGGCAACACCTACTTACTACTCTATACTATAGGTCTATGGGTCAAAAAATATCATGCATAAGCTTGGCTCAAAAATACTGCAGGAAATGTTAAAAGGAAGAAGGTACCTAGTTTAGTGAAACTGAAAATCTGCAAGTTCTGACGAGGTAAAGGGCAAGATAGAACTTAAGCTCATTTTTCTCTACATCCCTTTCAATACTAGTTCACCTCTACCCAGGCAAAAAGAAACAGCTACTTCATTATTGAAAAGCCCAGTATCACTTTTCCACCTAACATTATTAGTCTATTTAACTGATTTAAAATGCAAATTCAAACAGAGAATTCATTACAAACTGCAGTGCTTATTCATGGAAGTCAAATAACTAGATGAACATTCTTTGTACCACAAAGCCATTATACAATCTATTTCAAAAAAGCATTCTGAAAAATATCACAGGATGCAAATTAGATACAGGTTCTTTAAAAATCACTTAGGAAATTGGAGTTCTGGTAAGATGGCGGAATAGGCAGAAAGATTGTACAACAAAGAAAAGGGGAACCAATTAACACAGATAGAGAAGATAATCCTGGACCCCTGAGCTTTGAAGGGAAGAATACAAAAGTGGACTAAACTCCAACTAGCAGAACAATTTGCATGAAAACACCAAAAAAGAAGACATACGGAGCTACTGTCTGGCAGCGATCCTGATGTCACAGACAGGTTGTTTGGATATTGCCGAGTGGTGGTAAGACCTAAGAATTAACCTAAAACTCAGCTCTGCTAGCCAGGGACTGCATGGATGATGCTCTGGTGGCTGGTAAATAAAAGGGGAAACAGCAAAGAGGAAGGCAAGCTGAGCTGTGGACTTTTGCCTGTCTAGAGGGCACAACCATTTTGAATGTTTACAAGCAGTTTGACCATTTTGGATATTTAAAGCGAAAGCCTTCTCCCAGATTCCAGGGGCTTAAGAACAGGCTCCACTTGCAGGGAACCACAAGGACATTCCGGATGCCAATGATTGGAAAGGTGCGACATTCCCCTTGCTACCTTGTTTATTATACATACCCATACCCTCTTGGGAGCTCTGGTAGCATAGTGGCTAAGGCACTTGACTGCTAACCAGAAGGCTGGTGGTTCAAACCCACCAGCCACTACTTGGAAGGAAGATGGGGCAATCTACTTCTGTAGTGATATTGCCTCAGAAACTCAAGGAGGGGTCACTATGAGTCAGGTCTGACTTGACAGCACATAACAACAACAACATACCCTCTTGGTGAACGGAGGTGCGGCCATCCCTCACTCCTATCCACTTTCTAGGTCAGCAGGAATTCCATCCCAGTCTGTGTGCTCGGACAGAGCCTGGGTGCCCTGCCCCACCCTGATTTTCTTTCTTTCTTTTTGTTTTTTAGTTTGATTCTTTTGACCTGTTTAAAACTACTATAATTATTAGTACTTTTGTCCTTTTTCAGTATTACTCTTATTCTTCCTTTCCCAGGTTCTAGTTTTCAGGTTTTTGTCTTTTCCCTGTTCCTGGTTCCAATTTTTTTTTTTTTTCTTTCTTGTGGTTAACCCTGTTCCTTGTTTTTCTGTGTCTTTCCCATTTTTTCTTCATTATTCTCCTTCTCTACCTTTTTTCTCTTATTGTCCTCTCTCCAGATATTGCCGTGTTTTTGTTTTTCCTTTTTTGATTACTGTTCCTGTGTGATTACAGTGTTTTTTGTCCATTTGCTTTTACTTTTTTGATGGTTATTCAATTGTTATTTTTGTGTAACTGAGTGAGAGACAGCAACAGTTCTCCTGCAGCTTCACTCCTGAGTGAGAGCCACCACTGCCTTCTCCACTAACTAGCCAATGATAAACAACCACCAAGAAGAGCCTCAATCACCCTTGGCTGCTCTTCACAAACAGTTAACAGAGACCTAAATATAACAATGTCACAATGTCTCGAGGACGACAGACCTCACAGTCCACACAAAGAAGCAAGATAAAGTAGTAGAAACAAGGGAGCAGGATACAGAACCAGAACACATCCCTGAGGAAGAAGCAGCATTTGAACTCCGTCATGAGGAATTCTAAAGAATTATATTTAGCTATCTTCAAAGGATTGAAAAACAGATTAAGGAAAACACAGACAAAAACCTAGAAGAATTTTGGAGGAAAATTCAAGAACAAAATGACAAAATAAATGAAAAATGAGAAATGATTCAAAATCTACAGACAGAAATCCAGAAGATTAATACTAAATTGTCAGAAATAGATAACACATTGAAAGGGCAAAGGAGTGGAAATGATGCAATGCAAGACAGAATTATTAAGATTGAAGACAAATACCTAAATACTTCTTTGGAAAGGGATCCAACAGAAAAAAGATCAAAACAAAATGAAGAAAGCCTAAGGTTCATGTGGGATACCATCAAAAGAAATAACCTATGTGCCATTGGAATTCCAGAACAGGAAGAGAAAAATGAAAATCACTTAGTAAATTGGGCAAAATGTTTACCTGAATCTAGACAAAGAATTCACTTATATTCAATTGCTGCATGAAATTTACAATATTACTTTCTATAATATAAAGTAGAAAAAGAATTACCTGCTGCACATAAGCATCCTGAAGTACCTGTTGCTGCTGAGACTGACGGTGCTGTAAATGAAGTTGCTGCAATCTCCAATCTCCCTGTTGTAGTTGCTGAAGTACTCTATGCTGCTGTGGAGGCTGCTGAGGGGGCCCATGACCCAATAAAATTTCTGGGCCATTTCCAGGTCTCAGTGCTCCTGAAATAGGTTTCCAAAAAGCTTATAATAACATACTCATGATTTCAATAAAATGGCTACATTGAAAAACAGTCATGTGCGCAATCATTTAACCAAAACATTTATGTCTTTGTTTCATGATATAAAAACTTCCATATTCATATAAGTTAAGTCCCATGTTACGAACGTTCAACTTATGGACAATATTTGTCCTTTAATGTTATGTAAATTTGTCCTCACTTTGAAATTACTGAGCCAACCCCTACTCCCAACAAATTCTTTATCACAATCACCTTCATTTGCTGCATTTTCACCTTTTAAATCACTGAAAAGGCTTTGAGCCTTTTCTTGCTCTGAAGTAAGGCTAAATAAGAACCATATGGAACTGTTCCAACGTCACCTAAAAATTTAACTTAAAGACACACTTAGTAACTGATCTTGTTCATAACCCAGGGACTGCCTGCACTGTAAATGGACATACACAAATGGGATAATTGTAAATATCCATAATACTTAGGGGGAGCGCTGGTGGTGTAGCGCCTAAAGCATCTGACTGCTAACAGGAAGGCTAGCAGTTCAAACCCACAAGCCATTCCTCAGAAGGAAAATTTGCCAATCTACCATAGAGATACTGCCTCGGAAACCCAAAGAGGGGTTGCCATGAGTTGATTCCACTTCATGGCAGTTAAGTTGGTTCGGTATAACACTTAGGAATCCCTGAGTGGTATAAATGATTAATATGCTCAGCTAGTAAGCAAAATGCTGGAAGCACAAGTCTACCCAGAGGTACCTTGGGAGTAAAGCCTGGCAACCTACTGCTGAAAAATCAGTCATTGAAAACCCTATGGGGCACAATTTACTCTGGCACACAGGTGGTTATTTATCTTTAAAAAACAATATTTCATTGTGTCACCTACAACTCGGAAAAGCTCAACATTTTAGAAACACTTCATGCTTCACACTTCATCTCTCCATGAACACACCAGCCATGGTCATTCACATTTCTCATTATATCATGTACATTCATGATTCTATCTTTGCTGATCTGATTGTCTCAGTGTAGAATGCCATTTTTCAACCTAATGAAATTTTTCTTATCCTTTAAATTTTAACTCAAACATCTCCTTCATTCCTTCACCTAACACTTCTACGTAATTTATTATACTACATTCTGCCTTGCATATATGCAGACAACTGTTTATATGGATATTTCCCAACAAGGGGCCCTGAGGGATAGAACAATGATATATTCATTTGCTAGAGCCCCAAAGAATCTTTTACATAATAGATATTCAATAAATGTTTACTACAGTAAATCTACTAACACTATCTCCTGGATATATTATTTATTAGATGTTTAAATTTTACCCTAGGAAAATCTAATGAAGTGACTTTTAAATTAACTAAGCTACATACAACAGCAATAATAAGAAATGTAGTACACTATGATTTCTATATTCTCATCCAATGACTTACCCTAAATTCCACTACAAATGTACTATATAATAAGGGTATAAAAGGGGAGGAGAGCGCAAGGAACCAGAGCAATGTTACTTTTTCATCAAATTATTGTCAACCCTCCCCAACCTTTAACTCCAACACCTCTTGAAAACAGTTTTCTAACATTCATTCTCTCTTCTATCATGTTTGTTTTTTTTAAAAGCATGTTCATTTTAATTATTCTTAGAAATATAAGAAATAAAAAGAAAATAAAAATTCTACTACACAGACATAATCACCAACCACCATTAATCTTTTAAGTATACGTCTTTCTACTTGGCAGAGTATTTAGTGCCCTGATATCTAACTGGAGAACTAGGAGTAAAAGCCAATCTCAAATCAAGGCTCTTTATGAAATGACTTGTGAGGCCCACTCTTCACCTCACAAAATGAGATTTTATTATTATTATTATTTAAACCATAATCAGACTGAACAGAGATCCTTAGTTCTCAAACCAAGGGCACAGAGTACTAGAGAACTCCTAAACATCATCATCACACTCTTACATGAAAACAATGCTATTAAAGTACATCATTTCATCCTCATATAATTAATCTCCATTTTGCAAATTATAAAACTGAGGCTTAGATGTGAATTCACCAAAGCATCCAAGTTCAATGAACTTTTCACTTTTACATGATGCCTCTTAAGCACATTAAAGAATATGTTAACAAAAGAATAGACCTGGCCAAGTATACAACAACTACTGTCAAGCTGCACCCTGGATCTATTTCACACTTGGGTTGCCCCTTCCAGCAGAAAGGGTTAAGAACAATCTCGAAATAATTAAGACTCCAGGGTGACAAATAATATTGCTGCAGACCCAGATTTTACAGATAAGATCTCGTACAAGAGACAAGGACTTGCCTAATATTTAGTAGCTTTTAGGGAAGGAGGTATCAGTCACTTCACAAATAAAAAGTCTCTATGATTAGTCCTGTGTACCCCACCGCAAAAAACAAACTGTACATAAAATTAAAGCAAAAGAATTATAGAATGAACATATATCTTCTAATACCTTCAAAGATGACTTGGAATAAAAATTTTCTAAGAAAATCCTAAAAAGAAACAAATCAAATTATCTTATTTTTAGAAGTCTAGTTCTATATTTCATTATCTATTCTTGCTAACAGTCTCAAAATTCAGGCTCCAAAAAACTATTCAAGGATATACTAAATCAAAATTAAAAACAAATCCAAGATGATATCATGGGTAAGAAACAATGTCTGAAGAAATGAAGACTTATCATTAATAAATAGTCCATGATGCACAGTAACATTTTTTAATTAGAACTCTTTATTTAACATGAAAGATGATGAGAAGGAAGTATATTAAACTTCTTGTTTTATCTGGCAGAAGACATACATTCCGATTAACCATAGTTATCAATTAAAATAAATATGCTTAAACCTAGGTTTTAAAAAATTAAGAGTAATAAATAGAGCAACTATTGATAATTTAAATTGAGCAATTTTTCCAGTAATAGCTTTGATGGTTCAGTGGCTGTCTTTAGGCTTCTAACCAAAACGTTGGTGGTTCAAACCCACCAGCTGCTCCACAGGAGAAAAAGAAGGCAGTCTGCTTCTGTAAACATTTACAGCAGCCTTAGAAACACCATGCGATAGTTCTACTCTATTTTATAGGGTCACTTTGAGTCAGAATCGACATAAGGGCAGTTAGTAATCTTTCCAAGATATTGGATGGCATGTATCCTTTCAAAATTCCAGCAACAGTCTATATAACTGTGACAACCACAAATGCCTGATCCTACCCTTGCATTTCCAAACACACTCTAGAACAGCAATACTGCTATCAGTTAAGAACAAACAACATAAAAAAAGAAGTAGGACTTACAAATTAAAAAAAAAAAAAAGAAAGAAAGAAAGAAATCTCTATCCAGCCAAAGGAAGAAAAGAAATAAAACATAACTACAACAACAAAAAGTCTCAGTACATAGAAATCATAAAATATTATAAGTACAAACATGCAATCACAATAAAGAGTAATAAAAATAATTTCTTGTAAAGTCAGAGAATGATAGACTGCTTAAAAAAGAAACTGAAAAATAAAAATCCAGTTATGTGCTATTTATACAAGACACATAAAGCAAATTTACATAAAATAAAAGGCTTAAAGAACGTAAGACAAATGCTAATAAAAGACAAGGACCTGTATTAACATTAACAACAAGATAGACAATGCAAAGCAAAAATCACCAAGCACATATATGAATAAAATTATTATCAACTGTCATGCATCTAAAAATAGCTTCAAAATAAGCAAAAACTGAGAAAAGTATTAGAAGGAATTAACAATCTATGATCTTAACCTAAAAATCTCTCTCAGAAATTAACAGATCAAGTAAACAAAACTAAGAGTAGAAAAGATCTGAATAACAAAATGAATAACTTCATTAAATACATAATTCTTGTATCAAGACAGAGGGCACACATTCTCTGTAACAAAATGTTGTTGTTGTTGTTGTTAAGTGCCGTCGAGTCTGACTCGACTCATAGCGACCCCTCCTTGGGTTTCCGAGGCAGTATCACTACGGAAGCAGACTGCAAAACCTTCCTTCCGAGGAGTGGCTGATGGGTTTGAACTGCCAGCCTTTTGATTAGCAGTCAAGTGCTTTAGGCACTATGCTACCAGAGCTCCTGAAGGTGAAAGTAGTATGGGTAAAGTCAGCACAACATGACCAAGACAAAAGACGATGTGGAGGGATATATAAGAATAAAGGGCAATTATAGCAAATTCTGTAACATATACAATCCTGAAACAACAGTAATAACAATTAACAAACGGAGGTAGATAAAAACCAAAAACCAAACTCACTGCTATTGAGTCGAATCCAACTCACAGCAACTCCCACTGGGCTTCTGAGGCTGTAAATCTTTATGTAGGTAGATTGTCCCACCCGCCTTCCATGAAGCAGCTGGTGGGTTTGAACTGCTGACCTTCCGGTTAGCAGCCAAAATGCCTTATCCACTACACCACCAGATACATTTAGCATATAAATTATTTAACATATGTATCTACAAAGGTAAGGAGCTCTGGTGGAGGAGTGCCTAAGGCATTTTGGCTACTAACCAGAAGGTTGGAGGTTCAAACCCTCTAGCCACTCGGTGGAAGGAAGATTGCCCAATCTACTTCCGTAAAGATTTATCACCTCAGAAACCCAAAGGGAGCTGCTATGAGTCGGAATCAATTCGACAGCAGTGAGTTTGGTGTTTTTTTGTTTTTTTTTTTTTTTTAAATCTACAAAGGTAGATACATATGCTAAATAGATGTAGAAGGTCATATAAGACTATATATAGGTATGGTTGTGGGTATTTCTACATGTTGTTGTTGTTAAGTGTTGTCAAGTTGCCTCCAACTCATAGCAACCCTGTGTACAACAGAACAAAACAATGCCCGGTCTTGCACCATCGTCACAATCTTTGCTATGTTTGAGCCCATCATCACAGCCACTGTATCAATCCATCTTATTGAGGATCTTCCCCTTTTTCACTGACCCTCT